TGATGCTCCAGAAGGCAGCAGTGTCCCCACAACCCCCGGCTGTGCCGATGCAGGATTGGTAGCAGATGCTTTGGCCCAGATCTTGGCTGCCCCCCTGCCCCCTGTCGAGGTCACTCTGCCACATTGCCATGGCTGGTGGCCGGCTGGTGTCCACTGGTCCTGTCGGGGAAGGCATGCCCTGCGGCACTTCTTGCGGAGCCCCAGGGCTGTGAAGGCAGGTGGGGCTCACCTGTGGGTCAGGGCTGCCTGGACGGCTGTGTCTCCCCCCAGCAGGCGCCTCGTGGGCAGTATTTGAGGAGACGGTGAACTCGCCAGTGCCGGTTCCAGGAGTGGCGGTGGATGTGGGTTCCGGTGTGTGGGCATCCAGCACCCCCAGCCCTTCGGCTTTGGAGGAAAAAGGCTGGGCCAAGTTCACCGACTTCCAGCCTTTCTGCTGGTGAGGTGGGGCGGGCCAGGAGGTCACCCCATCTGCCTCTGGGGGTGGCATCTCCCTGGCCGGGGCTCAGCCTTGCCTTCCACAGCTCCGAGTCGGGGCCCAGGTGCAGCTCCCCGGTGGACACGGGCCACGGCGGTGCCCAGGATAGCCTGACCCAGGGCCCAGAGAGGACCCGTGAGTAGGAGGGGCTCTGAGCACAGGCAGTGGGAGGATGTAGCCAAGACCCCACTGTGGCTCCCTGTCCCCCTGGTGATACTGGGGTTTGCACATCTCCCAGAGGGCCCAGGCATAGGGCGGGTAGCCCTCGGGGTGTGCATGTCACTGGCCTGCACCTATCTGTGCTGCCAGGGCCTCTGGCGGACAGTGAGGGCCTTCCCAACCCAGGCCAGTCTCCCCAGGCCTTGCTTTCTCCATGCAGGTCACCTGAGTGCATTGTGCCACCTCAGTGGCCGTTCTGGGGCCTGTTCAGGGTCCTTGACCCTGAACCCCTCATCAGACAGGCTTGGAAGCTCCACAGGGTATCAGAGCCACACCGAGAGGGAGTTGGAAGTCACAGGGCTAAGTGGGGGCCCTCCTGGCCTGGGGGAGGAGAGCCCCTTTGTACAGTTCCTGTAAATACACAGATGCACGTGTGGGCTTAAGGACCCTGAGGCCGCGCCCTGCGGCCCCTCCGTCCTCAGCTCCCTGTCCTGTAGTAGGCCCAGCTTCCCCATGTGCCTGGAACGCGTGTGTCACCAGGAAGGCCCCCCCAGTGGTTTCCGACAACACTGAGGACGAGCAGAAGATGGCAGGTGCCTTGGAGACTGTCAGCATGGGTCCCAGCCGGGAGACCCCCCTGCTGCCTGCGTCAGTCCCCAGGTGTGCAGGGTCCCTAGGTCCCCAGCACTCTGCTCACCTAATGCCCTGCTGGCCCTGTCACCCTGAGGATGCTGACTTTTGGGGGGTGGGAGGGTAGGGATGCCTGTTCGTCTAAGTGGAAGCTCGGGGTCAGGGATGCCTTCTTCACACAGGGAGAGCACAGGGACTGAATGTCCCGCCTTGGGGACTTGGGGATGGGGCTGCCCCAGATGGTGGGGAGGGGCCGTGGCCTCTCAGACAGCAGGAGGGAGGGTCTCTGAGGACATCCTTGGGTCACAGGAGTCCTGACTGGGGGCATCTTCCCTGCAAGCTCCCCTGCACGCATCCCTCCTTCACCCACAGGAAGGCCCAGGCCTTTGGGATCCGTCGTTGGATGGACAGACCCCTCCTGGCTGGGCATGGTGGGGAGGCAAGCTGCATAAGGAGCTGTGAAAATAGGGAACTGGGGGCCAGTGGGGCACTTGAGAGAGAAGGTGATGGTGGAGCCGAAGCTTACAGGGGCGAGGGGGGGCAGTCCCCCAGCAGGAGAGGACAAGGACCAGATGTGTGACAGTGGGAACAGCCGTGGAGTCTCCTTCCCCCTACCCCCCAGCCCGCTGCCCCAGCCCTGGTGGTCCCGCAGGTTTGGGGCTCAGTCCATCCCATTGGTGGGGGTCCAGCTCTGGCTCACAGCATGCTCGTTCTCAGGACCCCAGACAACAAGGCCTGTCCCTCAGGGGGCACAGCTAGGAGCCAGCGGGGCCAGACAAGGAGGCAGGGCCCCAGGCCCCTGAGTGGTGATCCTTGGGTTAAAGGCATACATGGTTCTTGAATGGGTTTAATTCCTTCTCAAAGTGCAGAATCATTGCAAGTCTCAAAGCCTCTTCCTCTTTTGCTAACTTCCCTGACTAAAAACCAGCTTTGCTCTGAGAAGCAAATTATGTTCTGAAAGCATGTGGGCCATTTCCGGAGCTGCCTGCATGACTCTGGTCCCAGCCCGCCTGTGGGTGAGCCCTCAGGCTGTGCCCACCTAGGCCAACACCTGGTCACCAGGCTTTAATGTAGGGCGTTTCTTATGCTGCCCGTGGCTCCCCCACCCTCACTGGCTCCCAGGGGTCCTTGTATGGTTGGAGCTGACCTTATATGTGATTGAAGCAAGCACTGGGCAGGTGTAGGCTGAATGGAGGAGCCATGGGCTCTCTCTCTCCTGGGCTGCAGCAAGAAGGGCTGTGAAGACCAGAGCCCGGCACTGGGGCTGGTGTCTTGAGGCCACTGGTTCTTGGCCTTTCCAGTTACAGGAGGGACCATTTCTGGGCACATGGCCCATGGGCTGCCTTTTTAAAAATTTTTTTAACATTTATTTATTATTGAGAGACAGACACAGAGAGTGAGCAGGGGAGGGGTAGAGAGAGAGAGGCAGAGACACAGAATCTGAAGTAGGCTCCAGACTCTGAGCTGTCCGCACAGAGCCCGACGTGGGGCTCGAACTC